GCCCGCTCAGAGATGTGTATAAGAGACAGGGATTTAGGATCCTCTTAAGGAACAAAATAACTTGATATTCTTTTAAATATAGAACTGTGAAGATAAAAAATTTCAAAAAACGACAAAAAGCATGTTAAAATATAAGTTTCAAGTTTAAAGATGCTTTTTTAATTTTTTGTCTACGACAATTTTTCACTAACAATAAGTTACAGCAATTTGAATACTGTTCAATTTTGAACGTTTTGAAAATGTTCCCTATTTTTTGTTGAGTAATGTATAATGAAGTAAAAGCCTATGCAAGCCGAACACCGATGTTAATGTGTGAATAATTTTTATTGTTTAACAAGACTTTCACTATATTTGATTTATTCTTGAGAACCTATTTCCTTCAATTTAAATTTATATTATGAATATGTTTTGAGTAGAATATATATTTTTTTATTCTTACGAAATTCGGTGGTACTTGAACACTTTTTTCTCCCACGAATTGTAACAAGTCTCGTTCAACGCCAGTATCCCATCGTGTTATATTGGTTTCAGCTTGTTTCATTTTCGCCCATCTTCCGCCATAAATGTCTGATTGTCCTGATACAATCTTCGAAGATTCTTTTAGAGTTTTATTCAACCATACTGTGTGATTTTTAACGATATCTGTAACTTTTTCTCGAGTAATAATATTGATGTCTATTAGCTTCTCTACATATCGATCTGGTATAGATCTGTATTAAAAGAAAAATTTATATTATTTATTATAGATATTTACATACACATGCATAAGTGTCTCAAAGTTTAACAAACTGCGGCAACATATTCTACAAGTGAAAATAAGAAAAAAATATATCGAGCTTGGCTAAAAATATTTTATTACAAAGTTATAAACAAGTATTGAAACATGAAATAGGAATTTCCGTTGCGCAGAATATGAAAGTGTACTTTTCGTGTATGGAAAGATTGAACGTGTTTATTGCGTATATTCACATCATATTTGTTATCTTTAATTTAGTATCATTTTATAATTTTGTAATAAAGCATTTCTAGGCCCAAATTTTGCACATTTTTTTTTTACTTCTTTGTAAAATGCTTTCGCAGATTGTTTGTTAAATTTCGAAACACCCTATATACAGGGTGCCCCAAAACTCTTAATTAATACTTCCAGATATGAAAGAGAATGAAATTTTGAAATAAAAGTTCCTTTAGTAATTTTGGATTAAACCCATAATTATTTACAGAGTTATTAATGAATAAAAAGTTAATTAATCAGATCGCGCTTAGCCGGAGTATGCAAGAGCATGGCATGCCGTACGGCTCTTCGCGCTTACTTCTCTCAATTAAAATTTTATTTTAATTTTTCATATTAATAAATAAGTAAATGAATAAATTAATAAGGTAGGTAAATAAATAAACAAGTAAGAATAAACAAGTAAATAAACAAATAAACAAATAAATAAATAAGTAAGAATAAATTATAGTTAGAAATGTATTTAATTTCTGATTGTTTTTATTCTTATTTATTATTTACTTATTTTAATAAGGAAAGGTTTAATGGCCAAGAAACGAACAATAATATATTTATAAATAAATAAATAAAATATCCTTGAACGTCAAATCATAAAAACATTTCTTTACAGAGTTTTCATCAGTTATGACTTATGCAGGCTCTTCAATACGATATAATAATTTACCTTTTAGACATTATCCTTTCAATTTTAATTTTATTCAGAGTCAATTTGGGAAACATGGAATATCCCGTATAAAACTTTTTATGATGTTTCGGTTTTTTCCCTTATTCTTTTAATTTATTTATAACTTCAATTTAATATTATACTTTTATTTAATTTCAATTTTTTAAATTATTTATCTTATAAATTGATGAAGATTCTTTGAAGTATAAAACATTTTTATGACTTGACATTAAAGAATATTTTATTTATTTATTTGTTTATAAATCTATTATTGCTCGTTTCTTGGCCGTTAAACTTTTCCTTATTGAAATAAATAAATAAGAATAAAAACAATCAGAAATTGTATAAATTTCGAACTGTATTTTATTCTTATTTATTTATTTGTACGTGTTTATTTATTTATTTATTTACTTACCTTACTGATTTATTCATTTACTTATTTATTAATATAAAAAATTAGAATAAAATATTAATTGAGAAAAGTAAGCGCGAAGAACCGCACGACATGCCACGCTCCTGCGTACTCCGGCTAAACGCGATCTGAATGATGAACTTTATTCGTGAATAACTCT